TAACATTCCTGGATACTTGGAAGTCCAAGATTAAGGTGCTTGCTGATTCAGTGAGAGCTCTCTTCTGAGAGACAGAGACAGAAACAGAGAATGATACACACAGAGACAAAGAGACAGTGAGATGCAGAGGCAGTGCCCTCTTATGAAGGCCCTAAATCAGTGGTTCCCAAAGTGGGACACACGCCCCACAGGACGGCAATTTGATTGTTAAGGGGGGAAATTCAAGACTGAGTTATTAATAGTGATTTTTTTTTTGCATTTCTTATGGTTCTAGGGGCTTCATAGACAGTATATTAATATACTAGAGGCCCGGTACACCAAATTCATGCACAGGTAGGGTCCCTAGGCCTGGCTGGCGATCAGGTTCCCCGCCTCCCTGCCTCCTCCTTCCCTTGCTCCCTCAGCACCACACCACCAGTGGTCGCCCACCATGTTCTGCCTGCTCCCTGATGATCAGCGCACGTCATAGCGAGCAATCAAACTCCCATTCTCCTGGTAGAACTTTGCATATTAGCCTCTTATATATAGAGAAGATATTGTCACATATTTATGCATTTCAGTTCTCATTATATTTTGAAATTTTATTTGCTATTTTTTATATCACTTCATATTATTTTTTAACAATTTCTTAGTGATTTCTTTTTCAATACTTCAGCTATCCTTTTTGTTCTTTTATTTTTCTCTTTCATGGTTGGCATGTTCTTTGGAAGCTTGTTTAGACCAAGTTAATGGCCTTTTAGGCTTCCTCTATGTGAATAGGAGTTCCCTTTTTGAATAATAGAAATTAGATATCACAGGGGTGGCATCAGTATTTGAGAGATGCTTAGGTGGGGCAGGACCCAAAAAAAAGGCTGGAAACCACTGTTCTAAACCCATTATAAGGGTCCCTCTCTCAAGACCATATCTAAACCTAATTAACTCCCAAAGACCCATCTCCAAATACTATTACAGCAAGGGTTAGGGCTTCAATGTATGAATTTTGAAGGAGGGGCTCAATGGAGCCCATAGCATTATATAAGATGTCAATATTAGGGGAACCACAGTGAAGAGTATATAGGAACTTCTTGTACTATCTTTGAAACTTTTATGTAAATCTAAAATTACTCAAAGATTTTTAAAAGTGAAGAAAAATCAAGAAGGGTTAAAGGTGCCTGGTCAGTGTAGCTCAGTGGTTGAGATTGACCTATGAACCAGGAAGTAATGGTTCAATTCCTGGTCGGGGCACTTGCCCAGGTTGCAAATTCAATCCCCAGGTTGCAGGCTCAATCCCCAGTGTGGGGCATGCAGGAAGCAGGCAATCAATGATTCTCTCTCATCATTAATGTTTCTATCTCTTTCTCCCTCTCCCTTCCTTTCTGAAATCAATAAAAATATTTTTTTAAAGAGGAGTTAAAGGTGCTAGTGAGGAAAATTCAGATCTTCAATCACAGGATCAGGCTGAGTTAAAAGAGAGAGAGAGATGGTGATGTAATGGAAATATTGAGGAAAACAGAAGGATCAAGGTTCTACGAAGCTGGAAACAGGTTTAGTTCACCATAAGTAATGACTTTTATTTTCCTTGAGTAATATAGAATATTAAAAGCTCACGTACAATGGAGTGTGCTTCATTATAATAAAATGAAAATGAAGATTAGAGAAATAAAAAAGAGAAGATTTTTTTCTTGAGAAAGGGAAGTGGGTCCATAGCTAGTGATCAATATAAGCTAATTTATTAAAAGCTTCTCATTTTTCTTAAACAATAAAATTATACTTCCAAATTTCAGGGTTAACATTTTATAACGTTTTACTATTTTAGCACAGCTGATAATTTAAAAAAAAAATAGAATAAGATTCTAAAATTTCAATATGCTTCTTTATACTAACATTGAAGTACTGTAATTGCTGTTAAAATACAAATAAAGACAACAGAGAAATGTCATGTTATTTTAATAGCTATTTCCATATGAAGGAATAAAAGATAATGAAGAGCACATTCTTGTTTGGTGCTAATGATGGAACAATTTGCAGTCTTAAAGATGAAGCAAAATGCATAATTTGAACCAGATATTGAAATGGTTTAAGATTAGAAAGGTAATCACACATTTACTACAGGAAATCCTCTACGTAATTGTCTTTACATTGCATTTTACCTGGTTTGTCAAAATGAAATTGTGATTTGTTTTTAGTAGTGTGTGTTATTATCTTCTGACGCAACATTTCAGAGAGGAAGGGAGAGAGAGAAACATCAATGAAGAAAGGAAATCATTGATTCTCTGCCTCCTGCACATCCCCCAATAGGGATCAAGCCCACAACCTGGCATGTGCCCTGACTGGAAATCAAACTTTGACCTCTTGATTCATAGGTTGAAGCTCAACCACTGAGCCATGCCAGTCAGGCAGTAATAACTATCTAATAAAAGAGTAATATGCAAATTGACCACCACTCCAACACACACAAGATGGTTGTACCCATGTGGTCAAAGATGGCTGCCCCATGTGGACACGAGATGGCCGCCACGAGATGGCCAGCAGGGGAGGATAGTTGGGAGGGACCAGGCTTGCAAGGGAGGGCAATTGGGGGCGATCAAGCCTGCAGGGAAGGGCAGTTGGAGGGGACCAAGGCCTGCAGGGGAGAGCAGTTGGGGGGGGGACCAGGCAGTTAGGGGTGACCAAGCTTGCAGGGGAGAGCAGTTAGGGGCAATCAGGCTGGCAGGGGAGCTGTTAGTCATCCATCAGGCTGACAGGGGAGTGGTTAGGGTGATCAGGATGGCAGGCAGAAGTGGGTTAGGGGCAATTAGGCAGGCAGGCAGGTAAGCAGTTGGGAGCCAGCAGTCCTGGATTGTGAGAGGGATGTCAGACTGCTTGTTTAGGGCCTAAACGGGCAGTCAGACATCCCTCGAGGGGTCCCAGATTGGAGAGGGTGGAGGCTGGGCTGAGGGACACCCCCCCCCCCCGTGCACGAATTTTGTGCACCAGGCCTCTAATCATAATAATAAAAGGCCAAGAGGCAGCACGACCAAAATGAGCAAATGACCAGTCACCAGGTGCATGGAGCACCTCTCGGCCATAATGATCTAATAACCAGTCGCTATGACGCCCACTGTGGCTGATGAACTGGCCCAATTGGGGAGTGAGGCCACTGGCCAAATACCCATGGCCCCTCCCCCAGCTGGCCCAGCCCTTATCAGGGGTCCTGATCCAGGTAGGCCGGCTGGCCAACCTCCTGCCATCTCCTCCTCCCGACAGGCCCAGCCCGATCAGCCCTGATTGGGCCCGGGACAGCCAGACCCCACCCATGCACGAATTTATGTGTGTGTGTGTATACATATGTATACACACACACACACACACACACACACACACACACACACAGTGCTGTTTGTGTGTATAAAAAAATTTTTTGATCCCACATGAGATTCAATGTAGCTGCAAAGTCAGATTTCTGGCTTTATCACTCACTAGTTATGGGAACTTGTGGAACTGAAACTTGCAGAGCCTCAGAGTACATATTTGTAGCATTATAATGATAGATAGCACAGTAGCCCCCACCCCCAACACACACACCCTTATCTGTGGTTTTGCTTTTCAGGGTTTCAGTTATCCATGGTTAACCGTGGTCAGAAAATATTAAGTGGAAAATTTTTAAATTTTATGTGGTGCTAAAATTTCATGCCTGGGACATGAGTCATCCCTTTGTCTATCCATACTGTATATACTCCCCACCCATCAGTCTCTTAATAACCATCTCAGTTACCATATTGACTGTCAAGGTATCACAGTGCTCATGTAAAAGTAACCCTTATTTAATTTAATAATGGTCTCAAAGCACAAGAGTAGTAATGCTGGCAACTCACATATGTCAAAGAGAAGCTGTAAAGTGTATGTATACATAGGAAAAAAACAGTATATAAAGCCGAGACCGGTTTGGCTTAATGGATAGAGCGTCGGCTTGGGGACCGAAGGGTCCCGGGTTCGATTCCGGTCAAGGGCATGTACCTTGGTTGCGGGCATATCCCCAGTAGGGGGTGTGCAAGAGGCAGCTGATCAATGACTCTCTCTCATCGATGTTTCTAACTCTCTATCTCTCTCCCTTCCTCTCTGTACAAAATCAATAAAATATATTTAAAAAAAAAAACACAACACAGTATATATAAGGTTCAGACATCCACTGGGGTATTAGGATATATAGCCCTGGATAAGAGGGAAGGCTTCTGTAGTTAAACCCCTCTCATGAGATTATCATCAAATTAAGGTTATACCTGTTTGTCCATATAGTGGAATATTATTTGACATAAAAAGGAGTGCAGTGTTGATATATTTTTCAATATGAATGAATGCTGCAAATATTTTGGTAAGCGAAAGAAGCCAGTCCATGAGACCAAATATTGCCCGCCAGTATGGTTCAGTGGTTGAGCATTAACCTATGGTTGAGGTCAGGGTTCAATTACCAGTCAGGGCATATCCTTGGGTTGCTGGGCATGCAAGAGGCAGCCGATCAATGATTCTCTCTCATCACTGATGTTTCTATCTCTCTCTCTCCCTCTCCCTTGCCCTCTGAAATAAAAATATATTCATAAGCAAACAAACAAATTTAGGTAATATTTATAAAGTGCTTTCCATGGTACCTGACACATAGTAAGTACTCAACAAAATGTAGCTAGTATTATTACAATCATTACTATTTTTTTAAATTGCTATGAATAAAACAATCACCAAAATTACCCTACAAATCTAAAAACAAAACAAAACACGTTTAGTGAAAGTGAGAATATGAGAGTGGCAGAGATAGGAGGTTGTTGGCAGAGAACAGAATACCGGATTTCGTAATAGATGACATCCAGGCTGTGATCATGGTAGTTTGTGGCTCAAGCGGTGTGAAGATAAAGGCCACTGTTTGGAGTTGAGGTGAGGAATTGTGTGCAGGTTATGGTTGGTTATCCACATGATGTCTAATTATGTCTCCAAATGAGGACAGGAAATGAGGTAGAGAGGACAACTAAGTTGTAAAGAATCACTAGATACAGGCGATAACTTTTAAACACAGATGAACAGATGAAAATATAGATACAAGCACTACATATTGATATCACTGAAGCAATGTAACATTAAATATTTATAAGACTCCTCCACAAATAGCAAATGTGAAATAAAATACCCAGCATCCTTTCTTACTCTATAATATCTCCCTCCCACGTACCCACAAACAGAAGCAGTACTCTTATTTGACAGGATGGTAAATCCCCTGAGTTGGTTATTGAGATTCCATTTTCATTCAGATCTCACCTATCCTACCCCTCACTCCAATCTTTCTTTTGCTTCTTTAAGTACAAAGTCTGATAAGGGGCAGCTCACTTATAGCTTTCATATTTGAAGTAAAGGAAGCTTTATGCAGATTCTGGCTTTTTATGGATTTTCTCTCCCAGTAGGAGAAATTCAAGCCCTAGTAACACCTGCCAGTCTAGGAAGAAAGACAGAGTAACCTACTAGGATCTAACTTACTGTAACTTTAAAATCTAATCCATGCCACTTTTTTGTATAACACACCACAATGTTTTTTCCAAAAATCTTTAAACATTTTATTAAAGACCAACTACTTTACAAACCAGAGATATTTTCATAGTTTCTGTGTAGCTAAATAAGTTACATCAAATGGACAAAAACAGTGCGGAAGACACATATATATCAATAGAAAGATTTTTAAAATTCACCTCTAGAAAGCAGGTCAGATGGACTCAAAGACTTCACCGAATGTAGGAAGCAACATAAAGCCTTTTGCTGGTGCATAAAGGTAGGAGCCAGTCTATGCAGTCAATGAAAAGTTCTTTTACTCATGGACAGGAACAACAGTGTGGTGACTGCCAAGGGGAGGCAGGGAGGGGGAAAGTGGAGGAGGGTAAAGGGGGGATCAATAGGGATGGACAGAGACTTGACCCTGGGTGGTGACCACACAATACAATATAAGATGATGTGTTATAGAACTGGACACCTGAAATCTATATAATTTTGTTAACCAGTGTCACCCCAATAAATTAAATAAAAAGGAAAGAAAATTATTTTGCCTTTTGGTCTAAATGCTTGTGTCTAGTCTGGGTTCAGAAAAAGGTCCTGCTCATTTGAACTGGTTGTCAATCAAAGTCCCCTTCATTTTTGCTTTCTTGGCTTCCAGTTCAGCCTGGAGAGAAAGAAAAATATATATTCTGATAAAAGACATGAAATTCTTCTTTTCTTCCTTATTCTAACTGCCTAAACACTATCCCTCTATGCGCATTTAGTATACAAACTAGAACAGTGGTTCTAATGTCCTTACGAATCTCTAGCAACTGCTATGGCACACACAGAAAATTATAATATCTGTATAACAAAATGGGGTAAATACACAAGGCTGCAGGCAAAGGTCATCAATGTAGAGCTATCTCCCAGCCCCAGGACCCCCAATGGGCCAAGGGAAATCAATCAATATCGTGGCTCCTATTATCTTATTCTTGGCACAACAAAGGAGGAACACTGTTCTAGAACAGTGCTATTGAATGTTGTGTGCTCCATGAACTGTTTGTTATTGGTCCATGCAAGATATATACAAAAATTGAGAGTAAGCATTTAGAGATTTTTATCACCATTTGACAGAATAATAAAATGAAATAATTTAGTAAGAGCCTCGGCAAACTTATTTTATTGCACTTTATAAATTATAAATCTGTTCTTGCAAATTGGAAACTAAAAAAAAGATGAAACACTGGCCTTCACCTCAGAAAATTTGGTAAGTACTGCTTTAAACCACCATGGCAAGGTAAAGCAGCTACCAAGACCTGCCCACCTCTTTCACCAAAAAATCCTCTACAGTCGTTGGGATAGACTGGTATAACTTTTTTTTTTTAATATATTTTATTGATTTTTTTACAGAGAGAAAGGGGAGGGATAGAGAGTTAGAAACATCGATGATGAGAGAAACATCGACCAGCTGCCTCCTGCACAACCCCCACTGGGGATGTGCCTGCAACCAATGTACATGCCCTTGACCAGAATTGAACCCGGGACCTTTCAGCCTGCAGACTGACGCTCTATCCACTGAGCCAAACCGGCTTCGGCTTGGTACAACTTTTAATGAGGCACCAATGAAGTGCCATCTGATTTTAAAGAAATATCATAAGTAAATTATTACAAGGAAAAAATGGAGACACCATCATGTATAGGTGTGCATGCTCTATGATGAGCCCATAAATAATGCAGAAACTGGTGGTAGTACCAAGGCTTTAAAAAGCAATGACCAGCCTGGCCAGTATGGCTCAGTGGTTAAGCTCCAACCCATGCATTAAGAGGTGGCTGGTTCAATTCCCAATCAGGGCACATGCCCAGGTTGCAGGCTCGATCCCAGCAGGTGGTGTGCATGAGGCAGCCGATCGATGTTTCTATCTCTCTTTCCCTTACTCTCTTTCTAAAAATCAATCTATAATAATAAAAGCATAATATGCTCATAGGACTGGACAGCTGAACGACCTTCCGGATGAAGCCAGGGCTGTGAGTGAGGGCAGAGGCAAGCGCAGCTGTGAGGGCTAAAGCAAGCCGCTGTGTCTGCGAGGGCCCGGCCCCTTGCACAAATTTCGTGTAAAAAAAAAAAAAAAAGGAAGAAGCAATGGCCAGCCCCAACCCCAGTCCTACCGATGTAACACTATCCTGTGCCATTACATCCTGGGAAAGCATCCATAAGCCCCGATCTTTAACTCCTGACCTTGGACCACAAGTAGCAGAATAAAATATCATTCTACTTAGGGCTAGCTAACAGGTGCTATCATTTAGAGCCTGGATCCTGTGGCCACCACCACAGAGCAGGGCATACCGACAGTCAGAGCCCAGACCCAGACAGAGTTAGATACCTGGCAACCGGCTACACCAGTAACCCGACAGACTTCCTAAAAGATTTCCCTGACTGCCAGAGGATCTTCCTGACCAAGAGATCCAAAGAGTCCAGCCCAGCACCTTGCTGCTACATGCTACTCACCAGCTCCTGCAGCCGCCTTTTGCTCATGCCTTTGCGCTCCAACTGTTTTTCAATCACTTTGGCATTCTGTGCATAGGAATCAGCAACTTCCCGCTGAGGGGGGAAAAAGAAGCATCCTTAAAGCAGCAATCACACCAATGAGTAACAACAGAGACCTTAAATAGCAATTTATACCACTCAAATTATGAAATTATCACTGAAATGGTATGGCTGTTCCATTTCAACTCTTCAGTAATCCAGGAGAGTTCAGGTTTCAACTGAAACCATTAAAAAAATAATAGATAACATCTCTCCCTCTATAAACATCATTATACTGAAGTACCATAAAGGTAATTGCTGCTATTGCTAAGGGCAGACTCAGAAACCATCAGAGCTGGACGGGAAGGGACCTGCAATCGTTGTAGTATTCAAACTGAAGAGGGATGAGGGATTTGCCCCTAGGGCATCTCAAAAACAATATAAAAAAAAACTGATTTAGTCCAACCCCCGGGTTCTCATTTACAGATGGTGCTAGGGATCCAGGGACACAGGAACTAGCCGGCATCACAGTTGCTTACTGGCAGAGCAAGGTCTATGAGCATTCTCTAATTATTATAGTTCTAGAGCCCCTTTCCTTTCCTGCCCCCGTCCAATTCCCTTGAGAGCCGAAGCACTTACAGCCTCAATCTCCTCTTCCTCTTCATCAATAGTAGACACAGTGACAGAGCTGAACTTGCCCATGTCTTTAGTCCGTTTGGTCATCATCACCTAGAGTCACAGAAGAGAAATCAGTGTAGAAACAGCAAGAGGCTCTGTGAGCTGTTTGCGTGTGTGGCGCACGTGGGTGCACACGTGTCTGGGTGCTGGGGAATGTAGTTTTTGGGAGTGGACATTCACCTTTTTTTTAAAAAAAAAAATATATATTTTACTGATTTTTTACAGAGAGGAAGGGAGAGTTAGAAACATCGATGAGAGAGTCATCAATCAGCTGCCTCTTGCACACCCCCTACTGGGGATGTGCCCGCAACCAAGGTACATGCCCTTGACCGGAATCGAACCCAGGACCTTTCAGTCCGCAGACCGACGCTCTACCACTGAGCCAAACCGGTTTCGGCGGACATCCACCTCTTTGAAACAGGGTGGTCTGTCTAAAAGTGCCAATGTGTTTATTTGCATTATATTTTTCTAACATTTTCCATCAAGGGTTTTTAAAGTATATTTAAAAATTAGCCTGATTCAGTCCGTTTTTAATTTTTTTCACTGGAAAAAGAAGAAATTGGAAGGAAATAAATGTGAATAAAAAATGATACAATTTCTAAGTTTACTTATAGGGCAGCTGTAGGAAAAAAAAGAAAACAATATTATGCACAAAAATGGCATTCTCTTAATAAAGAATGCTTTCATAAAGGACAATTTCTTGCACACTATAATTTAAAATTTAGGGCTAAATCCATTGCCATGTAATATATATCTAACCCTCACCCAAGGATTTATTTTTGTTTGTGTTTTTGTTTTAGAGAGGAAGGGTGAGAGAGAGAAACATGGATATAAAAGAGAAACATCGATTAGTTGCTTCCCATACAGGCCCGAACAGGGACCAAACCCGCACGCCAGGAGAGTGCCCTAACCAGGAATCCAGCCAGCCACCCTTTGCTGTACAAGATGACACTCCAACCAACTGAGCCACCCAGCCTGGGCAAAACCCATAGCTATGTTAACCAGTCTGTCTCCTTCAATGACAATTACCTTCTTAGGAGGCTCTTGCTTCTGAGTATATATATTCGTTTTGCCAAAACCCTGGCCAAACTTGACTACTGCTCCATCCACAATGAAGGTCACGGGGGCATTCTTTGGCTGGGACTGGTAGAAGAGTGGCAGTCCACACCTGGGAACAGGAGGGTGAGTCTTTGGGAGGCCTCAGAATCCGGATTTGCAAAGTGATTTGCAAAGTGTGCTGAGATTTCAGGAATATTTTTGTTTGTGGCATAAATGAATGGTGCGCTCTTTCCAGTGTTTCCCAAAACTACTCAGTAAGAATCACTGAGGGTGCCTGTTAAAATTGCTGATCAGATGCCTATCCCCCATCCCCAGAAGATCCTAATTCAGCAAATCTGGGGGTTGTGGCCTTGGAATCTGTCATTTTCCTCGGCATCCCAAGTGATTCTTATCACCACACAAATCTGGCAACCCTGGCTCCTGCTATTGATTGCTTTCTAGTCAAAGCAGCTGCAACTCTTCCCTGGTGACTGGGTAACTAGTTTGGGCGTTTTTCTAGTTTTGTTTGGTTTGGTTTTTGTATTGTCAAGAGGGTATGTAAAGGCTCCACTGCAGTGATCGGCTCACAAATGCCTGTGATTATTGAAACAAGATTAAACTTACTATTGTTTAATGTTCTATTCATCTAAAGCTGGAAATACGTGTATTTATATTGCATTAAAGAAACTTCTGAGGTCTGGGGTCCTATAGCATGCTTTATAAATGGACCTGTTCTATTTACCATAAGACCCAGCAAAACCACTTCAAGAGAAAAACACATGTTCCCACCAAGATTTATATTAGAATGTTCATAGCAGCTCTATTTGTAACAGTCAAAACCATTAACAACTCAAATGCCCTTCACCAAAGGGAGGGTGAGACAAGCTGGTGCAAAGGACTACTACTCAGCAATAAAGAAGGACAGGTTGCTGGTATACATAGCAACTTGGATGAATCCCAAAAGCATTATGGTTCATGAAAAAAATCAAATGTAAAAGATACAGATTGTACTAGTAAAACACATAATGTAGAAATTACGTAAACTTTTAGAAAAGGCAAAAGCCACAGTAACAGAAGGCAGATTGGTGATTGCCCAGGGAGTGGGGTGAAGAAGGGGACTAACTGCCAAGGGAACATGGGGTCCCGGAACTGTTCTGTATCATGATAGTGGTGGCATTACATGACTGCATGCTTCTGTCAAATGGTACACTTGAAAGGGCAAAATTTATTATATATAAATTATTCCTCAACTTAAAAAAATTATATCATGTTAAAAAACTTATTTTTGTGGCTTGCTGGTCAAAGCTATAACTCTGACTGGTCACACTGAGAAGCATATTGTTATTATATAGAGACTATGAGGATAAAGATACAACAGAGAATTGGATCCAAACAATTCTGGTCCTAACACATTGTTGACGCTACTTACTTATGCTCAGAGAAATCCACAGTTAATACTTACTTTGCACACTTCTTCCTGTACTGTCGTTCAATACCTTCAGGCCTGCACAAAAACGCAAGTTAAAGGAGAAAGATATGAACAAATCTCATAACCTATCAACATCACTATCTCATTTCTTCAAATGCTAAAAGGGCCTTTCGAAATTTTCCATTTCGCACTGACCAGTGTGGTTCAGTTGGTTGGGCATCATTCCGTGTACCAGGAGGTTGCTCGTTCAATTCCCAGTCAAGGGCAAATGCCAGGGTTGTGGACTTGGGCCCCAGTGGTGGCCGATGTTGTGCTCCCACATCAATATTTCTCTCTCTCCCTTCCCTTTCTCTATCTAAAAATTGGTAAGATTTCTTTAATTTTTTTTTCATTTCATAGATCAACTGGTTATGAAACTTGTATTGATTTTAAAGCATTCCTTCCTTCCACAAATATTTACTGATAGCAGCCAAGCATCTCCCTGACAGAAAAACAAGAGGAGCAGTTGTAGTCATAGCAACAACTTAGTGGCAATAATAAGAACAACAACTATAAAGGTAACTATTTATATAGCTTTTACTACGTGCCAGGCAGCTGTTCTAAGGGTACATGTGTTAACCCATTTGATCCTTACAACAATCCTGTGAGGTAGGACATATTATCATTCCCATTTTACACATGAGGGCTCCTAAGTTCAAAGTAATCACATGATTTTCCCAAGTTCATAGAGTTAGAAAGTAGAACAGGTTGAATTCAAGCCCAGGCCATCAGGCTCAAGAGCTCCCAGGACAGTGCTTTAGATAACCAATTCTTCCACCCACCATTACTTAACAGAAACCTGGCACTCATCCTTGATTCTTTGCTTCCCCTCATCTCCCACTCCTCTGCATCAGCAAATCCTGTGCATTTTATCCAAAAAAAATCTTAGCCCAGACAGCATGGCTCAGTGGTTGAGCATCGACCTATGAACCAGGAGGTCACAGTCTGATTCTGTCAGGGCACCTGCCCAGGTTGCAGGCTCGATCCCCAATGTGGGGCATGCAGGAGGCAGCCGATTAATGATTCTCTCTCATCACTGATGTTTCTACCTCTCTCCCTCTCCCTTCCTTTCCAAAATCAATAACAATATATTAAAAAATAATAAAATTAAAAAACCCCTTAAACCTGTCTACTTTTCTCCACCTTCCTGCCACCATCTTAGCCCAGACCACTGGTAACTCTTGCCTGGACTACGGTCACAGCTTCCTGACTGTATCCTCCCTATTCATCCTCCACTCAGTTTTATTTCCCAGAGGCAAATACCGTTTCTGGTGAGGTTTTTTTTCTTCTTCCTGTTCCTCCAAGAGATAGTGGATGATACAAGCAAGAAATCCTTATTTGTACACAGAGAAAATACATTTTTCTTTGCCTTTTTAAACAAGTGTAGTATATTTTAAACTGTATATCAATTAGTAAAACGTGTATTGACTTAAAAATATTGTCCAGCCTGGCTGGCATGGCTTAGTGGTTGAGCGTTGACCTATGAAGCAGGAGGTCACAGTTCGATTCCCGGCCAGGGCACATGCCCGGGTTGTGGGCTCAATCCACAGTTGGGGGCATGCAGGAAGCAGCCGATAATGATATTTCTCTCTCATCAATGTTTCTATCCCTCTCCCTCTTTCTCTAAAATCAATAAAAGCACATAAAAAAGTATATATATGATCCTTCCCCATCACCAATAAAGAGCTGCTTCATTCTTTACAAGGTCTGTACTGTATGCCTTTGTATGGATGAACCAAAATGGCTTTTACTTGTTGGATAAATTCCTAGAAGTGCATCTACTTTAAATTCTGATAGACACTGCCAACATCATTATCTCATTTCTTCAAATGCTAAAAGGGCCTTTCAAAACTCTAGAGAAGTTGAACCAATTTACACTCCCACCACCAATGTGAGAGTTCCTGTTTCCCTTCAGTCTCACCAACACAGCATGCTATTAAAGCACACTGCCAATCTGGCATGTAAAAAATGTGATCTCATAAATTGTAGTTCTTTTTTTTTTTTTTAAAGAGTAAAGCTAGGCATCTTTTCATATATTTAATAGGCATTTGTATGGGGTGGTGAACTGTCAGTCTCTACCTTTTGTCTACTGAGTCGATTTTATTATATACTAGTGACTTAGTGCACAAAATTTGTGCACATTAAAAGGGAATTAGAGGATATATTTTTTTAATATATTTTATTTATTTTTTACAGAGAGGAAGAGAGAGGGATAGAGTTAGAAACATCGATGAGAGAGAATCATCGATAAGCTGCCCTCTGCACACCCCCACCCGGGACGTGCCCTCAACCAAGGTACATGCCCTTGACTGGAATCGAACCCAGGACCCTTTAGTCTGCAGGCCAACGCTCTATCCACCGAGCCAAACCGGTTTCGGCTAGAGGAAATATTTTAATATTGCTATTTGCCTTTCTCTATAATAGAAGTGTCAAAGATGAAAGAAAATTAGTAAAATGTATATGAAAATTTCCCTCCTGTCAGAATCTGGGGCTCACTGCGGGACCCAGAGTCAAGTCCCTGCCCACCCGCACACGCCTGGAAATCACTCAAGACCCAGATCCAGCTGGTCCCACCCCCATCAAGCCCCACAGGGCAGGGAGCACAGCCTCAGGCCCCATGGCCTGCTGCCAGGTGGGGGGCGCAGCCTCAGGTCCCCCATCAAGTCCCGCTGGGCGGAGGTCACAGGCTCAGGTCCCCCACCCGACCTCAGGTCCCCTGGCCCGAGCACGGGAGTGCGGGATGGGACCTCAGGTCCCCCAGCCTTGGCACGAGGGTGTGATGACCATTTGCATATTAGCTCTTTATTATATAGGATTAGGAGACTTGCAAATATTTCTTCCCCAGTTTTACATTTCTCTTAGACTTTCCCCCCCACATAGAAACTTTAGATGCTTATGTGGCCAAATAAATAGTGAGAGACCTTTCCCATTCCAAATTCATATCTAAAATAAAAACTACGAATGCTTATTCTAGAATCTGCTTCTACTACTGTCTCACTCCAAATCAGTTTCTAAGTGCAGTCAAGAGTGACTTCCCAAGACACCCAGAATAAAATCCAAACTCCTTACCATGGCCTATCAGGCAGCAACTGGGCCCACAACTGGGGCCCTGCCTCATCTCACACATTCCCTCCCCCTCTCGCTGTACACTAGCCATGCCAGCCTTCCTTCTCTTCTTTGAACCAACAAGTGTTTTTCCACCTCTGACCTTTCACACGTGTTCTCTGCCTGGAATGCTCTTCTTACTACTTTGCCACAGCTGTGCCATTCTTACCTTTTTTGGACTCAGTTCAAATATCACCTAGTCATAGAGGCCTTCCCTGACCACCTTTTTAAAGAGGTTCTCGTGTGGTTCTCTGTATAAGCCCTTTGTTTCATGCATATGACCTTTCATAATCATAATTACTTTATTTTTTCTGTCATCCCACTAGACTGTAAGGTCCATGAGATCAGAAATCAGTGGAGACCACGCCTGTCTGTCTCACCACTCTATCCCCAGAGCTGAACAAAGCACTGGAAACAAAATAAACATGGAATAAATATGGGTTGAATTATTTTAAGAATTCAGTTTAGTGAGTAAAATTAAAACCATGGAAGTAAGTTCTTAAATGGAGGAATGTATACAGTATAATTAATGGAAACACAGAGGTTGGAGCTATCAATCTGTCTGAAGCAAGCATGGAAGGCTTCATGGAGAGGTATGTTCAAGCTGACAGTCCTGATAGAAAATGGTATTTCAGGCAGAGGGAATACAATGTGAAAAGGCAAAACAACACAAACTATTGAGAGAATTACAAATAAGTCTGTTACTAGCCTTAAAAAAAATCAAAGGAGTACAACAGATCTTACAGACAGAAAGATTTTAAGATCAATTGTATACCAACAAATTAGATTACCTAGATCCATGGTCGGCAAACTGTGGCTCTTGAGCCACATGCAGCTCTTTGGCCTCTTGAGTGTGGCTCTTTCACAAAATACCATGGGCTGGGCGAGTCTATTTTGCAGAAGTGGCATTAGAAGAAGTTTAAGTTTAAAAAATTGGGCTCTCAAAAGAAATTTCAATCTTTGTACTGTTGAAATTTGGCTCTGTTGACTAATGAATTTGCCGACCTCTGACCTAGATAAAATGGACAAATCCTAGAAAAGAATGACACAAACTACCAAAACTCATGGGCAAAGAAATAGAACATCTAAATAAAGCACAAGCAATCATAAAATAGATAAATGGGACTTGATTAAAATTAAAAAACATTTGTGCTTCCAGGAATACCATCACGAAAGTGAAAACACAACCCACAGAATGAGAAAAGATACAGTGGTGCTGCTTAGAGTGTTAACGCCAAAGATTGTGATCGCCACCTTCTTTAACACGTTGCCTCTCTGCTTACAAGTATTACTTATGCCAAATGTGCCCCCATTTGCTAACATCACTAAACTAGGGCACTGGCAATATTTCCTGTTTTGTGTACCCCATCTGGTTCCTGCCAGGATTCTAAATTCTACCTCAGAAATTAACTACAATAAAAATAACCCAAAGAAATCAAACACATGGAGACTAAACAGCATGTTATTAAACAAGGACTGGGTTACCAGAGAAATCAAGGAAGAAATTAAAAACATCCTGGAAACAAATGACAATGAAAACACAACAATCCGAAATCTATGGGACACAGCAAAAGCAGTTTTGAGAGGGAAGTTCATATCCCTTCAAGCCTACTGCAAAAAACAAGAAAAAATGGTAACAAATTATCTAACTCTACAACTGAAAGAGTTAGAAAAAGAGCAACAAGAAAAACCCAGTGTAAGCAGAAGGAAGGAAATAACAAAAATCAGAGCGGAGATAAATGACATAGTGACCAAAGAAACAATACAGTAAGAACAACAAAACCAAGAGCTGGTTCTTTGAAAGGATAAACAAGATAGATGAACCTCTAGCCAGGCTAACCAAGAAACAAAGAGAGAGGACCCAAATAAACAAAATCAGAAACGAAAGAGGTGAAATAACAACAGACCCCGCTGAAATATAAACGATTGTT